CGCGAAATTCAAAACAAACAAACAAACATAAGCTGTTACGTCCATTATACTTAGTTTCGATCTATAATTTGCATATTTGTTGTTTAAAGATAACAGGCAAAGTTAGATACATAGTCTTAACTTCTTGAAGGTGAAATCATTTAAGTGCGTAAAGAAATATCGGTATTGTCCATCTTACAATTAGGACAATTTTTATCTGACATTGAAATTATAGAATACATAACTTCTTTTAATGTTTCACAAATCGTGCATATTATTTGAATGAGACAGTTATTATAACCAATATTTGTCCTACCATTAAACATAATAAATGAGCAACTTACTAATTATATTATTTAAAATACCAGAACTTTCGGACTGTCTAAGGTTATGACACTAATAACAAATCCCGCGCATACAGTCTGGAAACAGAAGTTTAAGAATTACAAAGGTCAGACACAGTGTGAACACTGACGTCAACACAAGATTGTTTGGAGGATGTCACGGGGTCATACATACAATGTAGGCTGTGAGATATTTCAACTTAAGCAGTCGGCGACCTTTGTTCTTTAGTCACATTGATAAAAACATTACATCTTTCAAAACTTTATGTACATTTAAACTTAGTTGTTTTTTTCAAATACACAAAAGAACATCACCGGTATTATAATTCTTTGATTATTTCACTTTATAGATAAATTACAAAACAGTATTCTGTGATTATATATAAAACTCACGTTTGTCATAACGTCTGAAAAACTGTCAGTGTTTCAGTCGCTTAGAATAAAATGAAAAATCGATTCATCACATGATCTCGAACTGAAGTCAAGAGAGAGTTAAACATTGGTGTATTGTATGACCTTTAGTGTTAGTTAGTTTATTGTGGCGCCCTCTGGTGACATAAATAGGAACTATGATCTGGTGATCTTTGATGACCTACTCCCCCCTCTCCCTCGATTCAATACTACCCGATCGATATAAGGGAAATGGGTGCAAGGTAAGACAGAAAAGGGCTGGTTCAGTATGTTGTTGAGAAAGGAATATAAAAGAGAGAGAGAGAGAGCATAATATCGGGAGGTGTGTGAGAGAGAGCGAATAAACCTATTTCTAAATCTATGTGCTATTAAATACCAGTAATAAACAGCATCTTGTTTTGTTTACATTGATACGAGTCAATTCCTGTTAGCAGTAAGTGCAAACGTAATAAAATTGATGAACATACCAAGAGAAAGATAGGTGTAATTATAGAGTGATCGTAACATAGTGGTTATAGCATCGTACACCCAAAACATTTATAGACAATAACAAAAACAATTCAAAAAATTACCAAAATTATACTGTTTTCTTGATAGAGCCACACCTTATTCCATGCAATTTACAATAATTTTCCTATATCACTCCATTTGTTAATTATTTGACTGTCAACGGACTTTTGAATCACTTGATATTACATAACGTGACATTTGTATAGTGTTTCTTAACCATATTTTTTTGTATCACCATTTCCACAGCTTCTTTGGTTACTTCATAACCAGAAGTTGCCTCTGCTCTATATATGTTTAACATCACTAATTATTAAATAAAAAGGTGGAGGTTAGAAGTTTCACATTGTATAATTTTAGAGTGATTTAATTCTACTTTAAGGTTATATCTAAACTGCTTTCCCACAACTGGCTGCTGACAGTGAAAGGCAGTAAGAGTTGAGACGTTGTGAGTTCAAGCACTCAACTCCCAATCCTTAACTGATTTTTAGTGGCTGGCTAGTTTGACATCAGCCTCTAGATCTTGTCTGATAGATGGAATATCCCCCAACTCGTTTGGGTGCTATGACCACAGATATTATCCATTATGACTTAAAGATGACAATGAGGACTTGTAATGGAAAGATAATTCCGAATTTTGGTTTCATTATAATGTTATATAATATTTATTCATTGTTTATTTATGCCCAGTGTCTGAACAGTTTAATCACTTGTTTCTTTTTTTGTTATATACAATCTACATATATACGTATGTCTAGGTTTTTGTTACATATTGGCATTACCAATAACACATCAAAAGTACTCTGAAGATATACCACTTTTTTATATTCTTCAAATGATTAATCTAAACTTTCATTTTTTCTTCATATATTAGTATGATTTCCATTTAAGCTTACTTTATTTGTTAGTTGAAACAGGAGATTTATTTCAAATCAATATCTGTAAATGTAAGAATAAGTTAAAATCCAAAATTTTGTATTATGATTTTATAAGAATTTGTCTAAATGAACATAATAATTTAAAGGCATCTTATTTTTTTAATCTAATTTTACATTTATATTGTCAGTTTTGGACAAAAAGATTTCACAGAACCTTTTTTCAAGCCGACACCAGATAAAGGAATTTTTATGTCTTTATTTGTGGCTGATGAGGTGTTATGTTCGCAAAATGAACTTTACAGGTATGTTTAATCGATATTACTCAATTGTAAATTACATAATATATTAAGTTTTGGAATTATATTTAATTTGCTTATATAATACAATTTTTCGTAAGCCTAGCCTGAACTAGTTATTAGGGTGCTCATCTCCTTGTCTGCGGGCCACGAGTTCTACTTAGATCATCGACCATGCTCGCCTTTCAGTCGAGGGGGCATTATAATGTGATGATCAACCCCACTATTCTATTAGAGTAGCCCAAGAGGAGTTGCCAATAGATGATGTCAACTATCTGGCCGTACCTCTAACTTAAGTAGTTATCCCAATACTTCAGACATTAAGAGCTCATTGGCTGCCCCAAGCAATAGGAGTGGGGCAAGATGATGAGATACTTATAAGAAGTGGTACCAGAAGGCGTGGTTGTTTTAGACGAGAGGGGCATCTATAGTTCGAAACAAGAGGGTGTGTTGCTATGATTCATAGTTCCACGTAGTGGCACCAGAGGGCGAGTTGCCAAAGGAGGTAGGATGATGAGTGTGCAGATTGTGATGTAGATCAGACATCAACATGTTAAAATGACATCAGCTTTATAGTAACAATCAGACTTAAAATGAATAATTCATCTAATTTTACAATTATCAGTACTGAAACGTTTTTAATCACTATCACTATTGCAGTTTTGCTTCATAATTAAAACTGTATTAAATTTGCTATTATAATGTCTAGATCTTATGATTATCATCAACTTTATAGTTTGGCTTATTTTTAATTACATTACTTGCATTTTATAAAGGCAGATAATGTTACTATACTTCCATAGGATTGCATAGATATTTCAACTTGTCTCAATTAATAGTTTTGGTTTATGTATTTAACTGTACTACATGTGTTTTACAATGGTGGATGCTGTTATTAATACATTTTACATACTGCTGAAAAGTTTTAGCACATGTGTCATGTATATAAGTAAAACTATTACTTGAACGAGATAGTTACATTATTATTCCATAGCTAATTTTGTCTTTATGATTTAAGTATCGATTTAAATCACCCATGAATATCAGTTTCTAACAAGTATGTTTGAACACCTAATACAAGTCTCCATTTATATTGCTTATATATAACTTCTGTTTCATTACAACCCAAAATGCTATCATTAATATATATAAGCAAAATCACAGATTTGACAACTATCACATATACTGAAACATTTTTGAATAAAACTTCAAGAATTAGATACACCAATATACTATTTACGAAAACTACAATAATCTTAGTTCATAAAATACTGACATACAGCCCAGTGTAATAATATCAGTGGTATATAGCTGTTCTAGCATGTGATTAGTCAAATAGAATGAATCACTGTAAACGGAACACAAGGGGGACATTCCTCATAATGATTCGAGCTAATATAATCATAGAAAGTTTCTTTATTTAGAAATTCTACAAAACATATCATGTACTTGAAATCAATAACTAATGTGACTGTCCCCCACATGCTGGACATCAGATCTTTTGACCTTCACATTACCCCTCCATAGCCTAATGTGCTATCATCAATATATGTAAGTAAAATCACAGACATGCCAAGTACCACACATATTAAAACATTTATTAACAAAACTTCAAGTTAGAAAAAGATTGTTTTATCCAAGATTTATCAGAAATAATGTGTATGTATCCTCTCTTTAAAGATATTAAGAACAATTTGTAAAATAACTGTAATAACAATAAAAAGTTCTTAACAAAATATTTCAATTTTGTTGCTTCTTATGATAAAAGACATTTTTCTTTCACATTACATAATTCCATCACGTTTATTGTATAATGTTTTGACTACGCTAAATAACTTACATAGTGCAGTGTTTTTTATCTGTTTGTAAAAGGTTTAAAACGATATAATGGTCTTTTCTAACGTATTTTGTCGTCATTATTTTACCTCGAAAAAGAGGACATCTCCTCATGTAGGTGTGTAGAAATTATGTTATCATTGCATTGCTCAAAAAGCTTTGAATTTAATTACGTTTATGAAGTATTTAGAATCAAATAATTGTCTCACTTCTTCTAGTTTTCCATCTAAACTCACTAGAAATATCACTTCCCTACTTATAACGCTAAAATTCGGGGTTCAGTCCCTGTGGTGGATAAAACCCAAATAGCCCATTGCGCAAGTCTGCGCTTAAGCTAACAAATTTATAGAATAATGTGAAGAGATAAGCCAGTTTTTGACAATACATATGATTTGAATAGAAATGTTCGTATTAGTTTAGATTTATTTTGTGGCAAACGTGGAGTAGAAAAAAACATTCGGTAATAAATATGGGTTAAAAATGTTCTTCAATAATAAAAATACTTTTCTACCTACAGGTCAATGACCATCAATGCAGAAGAACAAAGAGGTCAGAAACTTTTGTTAAATGTTCCTAGTAAGTATTACATCATCAATAACTTTTCAATCCATATTTCCAGCCGTTTTTTTATCATAGGCATCACATATAGAACTTCATTGTGAAATATTTAGTTACTTTGATAATTGTCCGACTAACTTATATTAGTCAAACATAATTTTTTGATAGCATTTTCTTATTTTCCTACAACAAAAGACTATTTGTTTTATAAATTACAAGGCACGAAATTGACTAGGTGACGCTTGCGTTTTGACAAGTAGAATACTATCTGATAATGAGATAGATACCAACTTGCTTTGAGCGCAAGTAAGTTCTACAGCTGAAATATAAACAGTGCGCTGCGCTGGATTTCTTTAAGAATACTATTCAAAATGGAAATAAGGTAAGACTTAAGTAATTTTTAAGACTGTTTAGGCACCAAGAACGGAAGCGAGGAAGGCACCCAGGAGGTATGTGTGTGATTGGTTGGAATTAAGACGTCGTAAAGGTATTCACCAGAGTTAAACATGCAAAATATTCAATAGGTTATCCTCTACTATCGTTACTCAACTATAATACTGTGTGGTAAATATCTGCTAATCTCCCAGAAGCTTTGCATATGTACACGGATGATTCATTTCATTAATATACTGCACGCGCCTTTTAGGTACGATCGTATGGAACACCTAAATCCCTTCTAATTCTAGGCATAAGCTCAATGTTGTTGTTGTTTTTTTAATTATCTTTGAGCAAAATGCATTTCTCTATTTACTTCTTCAAATTTCTAGAAGCGAAAGAATCTTATTATAATGGAGCTTGTCATGTATACTGTCCAAAACTTGGATCTTGGACACTACCACACCGATCATCACCAATCATAACTGGGTAATATTTTTATAACTAGGCGGTATTTTTATAGTTGAGCAATAGGTAAAACAATTGAAATTTCCACAAAAAATTATATGTTTCAGATTTAACCAATAAAAAATTACAAAAAAAAAGAATAAGTTTCAAATATAAAACAATAAAAAATTACAAAAAAAAAGGAATAAGTTTCAAATATAAAACAATAAAAAAAAAGAAACTTAAAAAGTATTTGTTTTTCTTTAGTGAAAATCTCACGAGTGTTGCAACATAAAAGCAAGGTACTTTCATTGATAACTGCGTGTACAAAGAAATACTTCAATAAAACCTACTCTGTGATGTAATACTGTGATGATAGCTCATTTTTAAACAAAAAATGTCAATAAAATCCTTTTTCTCATGGATGGTGAACATTATTGAATGTCAAGTATGAGTACATTGTTGTAGAACTGTCAGACAATTCCAGAAAAGGCCGCAGTAACTAGCAGTTATACCTTGCCGGAGGGCGGATATTTCTGTTAGTTAACACAATACAACGTCTAAATCTTTGTATATAAGTAATAACGTATAAAATGTTAGTTCCTAAGCTTTGGTGTCACTACTTGCTATTAATATATATACGTGTGAGTAGTAGTGATTTTTTTATTAACGAGTTAAAGAATGAACATTCTTCAAGGAATTCTTTAGTAATGCATTACATGAAATAATATCGTGGTATACAAAGATATAAGTAAACACGTACACAAATAAATAGCATTGAAAGCCAAGTTGTGATAATAATAAAGTAGCAGTCATCACACATTACAGCCAAGAAATTACTCGCTTTCGTTACCGATATTTTCACAACTACCTCTAGGATAAGAGTTATGCTGGAGTCAGACAATTCCAGAAAAGGACGCAGGTCCAATAGTCTTCCGCGGGTATTTCTTCTAGTTAATATAATGGAAAAATGTAGATGATCATAGACTTAAAATCTGTAAAAATAACTACAGAAACGGATTAGGCCTTCATTTCCCGTTCAACCATGGATCATATTTTGAAGATATGATGTAATTGTGACACATAAACGCCCCTGCTTGAGAAGGGGGTATGTTTGATCTCAAAACGACAAAAACATTAAGCGTTTTCTAGCTGTCAAATCTTATCCCCAGCTTTATAAGTTACATGCTTAAAACATTAAGCGCGTTGGTCTGTTGTTTGTATACAGAAAAACGTGTTTTTCCAATGGAGATAAATAGGCCATTCTTTGTTGTGGTACTAATACCACGTTTTTGCAATGGGGATAAATAGGCTATTCTTTGTTGTGGTACTAATACCACGTTTTTGCAATGGGGATAAATAGGCTATTCTTTGTTGTGGTACTAATACCACGTTTTTGCAATGGGGATAAAGAGGCGACTCTTTGTTGGGGTACTAATACCATTACATGTCCACTCTCTGTTGCCTTTTTAAAAAAGAATTTCTATGAGGAAAAACGTACAACACCTAATGGATCTTTTCAAGAAATATCGCCCTGTTCTATCGCTCTATTCATACACGATTCGGGGCTACTTATAATGGGAAAGCTTGGAAGTTAGCGTAAATGCTTTTCTTTCTTGGCTCCCGTTGCATTGTGGGTCGATATTATAATTTATAATCAATCACTTGTACTTCCTAGTTACCTTATTAGGATATGGAAGAAGTAGAACGATTTTGTTTTAGTTATGGCGTTAGTGGAAGATAAAAAAATCTAATCAAGTAGAATGTTACTTGTACTTGAAGTATAAATCAAAATCCTTTTTCCTTGAATTCTTTAAATGAAAACTACGAGAAAATATATTCATAACGCCTAAATAATAAAGTTTTTTTGAATCGTCAAATACAAACTGCAATGATATGTTTAATTTATTGACAAAAGATGTATTGATGTTTTTCATCATAACAAGATATAGCAAGCGGCTTCATACCTCCATTAGTGATTGTTATAATCTTGCATATACTTGGATAACTTTTTTCAATAAGATTTCGTCTTCAGTTCATAAGAAGACATTAACACCGTTAACTCGAAGATGAAATTATTCACTCATCATATCCAACACCTAGTTCAAAGTTATTAAAACTAATTTTAAAAAATATATTTAAAAAAAAAAGGAAATAAATATGAAGAGTCAAATCGTGCTTAATGTTCCTGTAAACATAACGTTAAAATATGTATTTCTGAGATTCTTTCGGAGTTCTTCAGTAACCCTAAAATTAAAACATGTTAATATTTGTCTGTAACATAACGTACTATTTAATGGACAACAAGGGACTTATTGGTCCAACAACCCTGTCCCACCCGTTTCAAAAAGTCAAATCCAGCGCTGATAGCTTAAATATCTATGAAATCTTCCCATACCCCCCCCCCCAATTATATTTACTACAAACCACTCCCAACCCTGTTAGAAAAATAGAACTGTAAGGTAAAGATGGCTTCCAACCTGCCGAAATAGATATTTATGACCCCCTTGTCCGTCCCACGGTGGGACAGCGGTAAGTTTACGGACTTACAATACTAAAATCCGGGATTCGATTCCCCGCACTGAACACAGTAAATAGCCCAATATGGCTTTGTTCTAAAATAATCAACCAAACAATCCCTTGTCCTACTATTCTCACCATTTATTACCAAAAAAAAAAAAGACTATAAATCGATACTAGTAACTTCCTTAACAATCTTAAACGCGTCAGTCAGATCCCTTCTAATTATTCTTTGTACATGACAAAACAATTCTGGAGAACATAACCAGTCCTCTATGACAACCTTACCATCCCAAGTATCATCATCCTAGTAACCCTTCTCTTTACTTAACTTAATTATTTCCTGTAGAAAACACACACACACCTTATTTTATTTATTTTTAATCAGAAAGTAATTATATATGATAGTGCCTGTGTGTGTGTGTGTGCACACAATATTTATAAATGTGTAAGAACAAAATTACTCCGTTAAAAACTTAAGTATCTTTTGAGGACTAATAAAGGTAGTTTAAAGTACAGTCACGTTTCCGTAATTTACCAGAACTTTACAATATTTTGTTCTACTTAAGTTTATGTTATAAAACAGAATCTTCTAACCTTGGTATTGCCGCAAACCTGAAAATAAATCGTTCTGTAACTGTGAAAATATTCTTTGATATCTTCTTCTTAACAGTTTTTCAGGATACAAAAACACCAAAACCTTTTCTTGAGAAGTTTGTTGGAGCTGATGATGACGGCCAGTCGGAAGAAGGAGCTTTACCTGATTGCATCTTTGGTGATTGTTGCTTGTTTGGCCTAAGTTTCTGTGCTTTACAAGTCACGGTACAAGCCCCGAATCTAGAGGATGCTAAATACTTGTACGATCACCTTACCGTTCTGAGTCCCATAATGGTAGGTACTGTAAGTGGACTTCTTTCTCTTGCTCTATCCATTGATCTATGTGTGGCTATGTACACTAATGTCAAAAATGAAAAGGAGTCTACATGTGATACGAATAAATAAATAAATTCATTTATGGAGATACATTACACATGACACCCCCAAAGGCCGTTCTTTTAAATGACTTCACTACTTCAATTTTCCTGTTCACACTATCTCTTCTAGCTTGTTGCTGACAGCGAATAATTGTTCAGGTGAAAAAAGCTGTATGTTGAAAAATCCTGAATTTACTTCTAATTTTAATCTTAATTAAACTTAGAATTGTTAATAGAAACAAAGTCTGACAGACGAATATTGGTTATATTTTGGTGAATACCTGGCCTAGTAGGATACATGAAAATTGTTACTTTGTAATAATTTTTCGTCTGCTCTATTCGTGCACGGTGCAGTTTTCTTTATTTTCAGTCTGGATGTCGGAAGTATATGTAAAAAGTATATATTAATTTATTTTAAAAAAGCATCAAATGTTTCTTTCACATATGATTTAGTTTAATTTTTACCACATTGTTGAAAAAGCATGTTACTAAAATGTGTTTTGATACATTATTGTTGTTAGTATTCTGTTGTTAGGCCTTGAAGTACAATAAGTTAAAGCTACAGATAGTGAGTCCTAGTATTCCACAGTAGCTACAGTGCTGTTTGGGTGTTACGTCATGAAAAATTAATTACACAGGACTGCGATGGTTTTATTATCTTGAAATTTTTACATTTTCTGCGGTAATTCCTGCACGCTGAATCCGACTATTATATCCATTTTACTCCATCGCGTACAGATTTTTCACAAAATGTCATATGTACTTTTAAA